CTTATATCCCCACCCCGCTTATATCCCCACTTTTGGGCTGAACGAAAGGGGGGATATAAACGGGGTATGAGTGTATTGCCTTCTCTTATGGACTAGGTAACGATGAATTATGTAACTAAAAGAACATCCAATAATATCGGCGACGTCAATGAACATGCCAGTATATATTATCAATAGACAATTCGGGGGGCTTATTGCACACTGTTGGCCCGTGGAAGTATTTATTTATTGTTTATGTAAAGTTTAATAGTTTACATTCACTCTTATCAACATCTATTTCAAATCCCACAACCTAGTTATCTATTACTACATTTCGGCCGATCGTCGTACAAGACGTTGAACTCTTTTCTTGAACGCTGGATAGTTCTCTCGCCATTCCTTCTGCATATACAAATGTTAAACGAAAGAATGGTAAGACCAAGTGCAAAGATGACATTTTGACAACAAACTTGTTGATTGAAAATTTGTCTGGGGCTATATGTATGACGTAGTAACACCAATGACAAACTGTTAACTTACAGCAGCTTCAATATTTGCAGGTGATTCATCATTAGGCGAAGATAGCATTGAAATTACGCTCAGCAAGATTGTTTCTACTGTATGTACGGGCATCCATCTCTCCCCTGCATCTTCGTACCCAAATCTATCTTCACCTGGCGGATGCTGAATGGAACAAAATTTTATTCCAAAAAACGAAATCAAAAGTTTTGGATCGGAATCACTTATACCTAGCGAAATAATTTGTAACAAATACAGCGTTGCTCTTACCAAGATTGAAATACACACATCTCCACTTGGATATACTGTTTAATGTTCATACAGACAGTTAAGAGAAATAAAGGCAAAAACGAAGAGATATTTCTGATGTATATTTACCATTAGGATGCCACATTTCTGTGACAAATCTAAGTGAAGGTGGCATTAAAGGGTAGTCCTAGCAATTGAAAAATACGTTGTACAAATGTTGATGACTGCACGAATATCATGATCGAAAACGAGTAGCATCGATCGGGAGAGATAAACTACCTTTGGAAATGTCATGTTTGCCTTGAAAAAGCCGCCTTCGCTGTTTAAAAAGAAAAACATAAAAATGTCAGCAAGGTACTTCAGTTTAAACGCTGGAATCCTCCTTGAATATAGGTCTGATAAACTACTTACTATAATGTTTCTGGTGGCCCCAGAATCATGATTTCCCACTTGGTAATTGTAATAGTAATTTGATCAGATCATTTTCATAAATTCACTATACATTTATATTCCTGTCTGTGTAATGAAAAGAGAATCTCATACCTTTACAATAGGCAAATAGACATCTTGATCAGTCGTCATATTGTACGTATATAATAAAATCACAGTGAATATTTATTGTGAATATAAACCCTTTACTATCGATTTAAACTGCTTCTCTATGGCATATATTCTACGGCTATAAACTTATGCGAATACTATCGTCTATAAACATGTTAAATTACTAAACTCGGCACCATACCTCATAGACGTTCTCATCGTCAACCAAACCAGCAGAGAATCCCTCCACAGGGTGTTTAGTCAACTCTACAAAAAGCACAGCTCAATCAGCAATACTTCTACTTGCGATGTGTTTACTTGCTATACGCTCATACTGTTACTAGTTAATACCTTTGAGCTGTTTTCTTAGTAGTAGCGTTGACTGTGTAGTCATATGTGCAAATATGGATTTGTGTTTGTGCAAAAACGAGAAACTAAAACCTCGAACTGTGTATACACATATATATGTCAACTTCAACACATGACCAAAGAATTTTGCTGCAAACCGCATGATCACCTACACCCAATTGGCTACTTTAATATCGAAGCCCACCACCTGGTTAGTTGGCAAAACAAACATATTGCTTAGTTCTATGATAACGGCTGCATTTATATAAATTGTTTTGTAAATTTACGATAATTTTTAATGACTAGTGAACATGCTTACTTAATTACAATCAAGTATGTTTAAAATTGAGAACCGGATGGATTGAATCGATCAAAAATAGTCAACTATAATCAATCAATTGGCGTAGCTATGTTACATAACTAAGGC